ACGGTTAGGAACGGTAGGAGGTAGGTAGGAGGTACGTAGTACGTACGTAGACGTACGACGTAGTACGTAGGTACGGAGACGGAGAGAGAGAGAGAGAGAGAGAGAGAGAGAGAGAGAGAGAGAGAGAGGTATAGCTATTAGCAACATAGCCAACGATTGAGTCAATGTTGAAGCTAGCATCGTAGCCAATGATGTAGCCAACAACCTAGCCTTGGTGCCAAGGGGCATAGCCAAGGAGGTGAGGGAAAGACTTTTGATTTTTGACCAAGGCCATGATGAGCATGAAGCGAACCCTATTTCACAGATTTTTGGTAGGGAACCCCACGCTGATAATGGAACCAAAGAGTAACCTGAACCCCACCGACGCTCCTATTACCTGTAAATATTTTTATATTTTGTTGTATTGGATTGATACATGTGAGATGAGCTTATATTTCAGAAATTGTGTACTCCATGACATTGTATCTCACAGTTTATATTTCAAAGAAATTAACATTTTTTTGCACAAATATCCTATTTTTGTTATTAATTGGCTTTATTATACAAAAATTCATTTGATTACATATTTTCTGATTTTTGCAATTTTTCCCCAAATTTTTTATTTTTCCCTAGCCCATGGTGGACTCAAGCTTAACTCCAGCAAGTCGATGCGGATGCCCAAGTAACCCGGTTCAGGCCCAAGTCCTGAGCCTGAGCCAAGTTTCTAAACCTTCGTCCTAAGTTCAATCTTTGATGAACTAGAATACAAACTTTATAACATGGATAAAATTGGGACACAATGTGCCCAAGTGATGAATTAAAGCAATCACAACATATGAACACCAAAATACCATTTGGCACATGTCCCATGAAAAGATAACACTATGTTAGGGTTACATTGAATGTATGATATATGCTTGAATAAATGATTTGGACTTGGGTTGCATTTGGAACTCAGAACCTGCTTAACAATGTAGGCGAGCAACGTATTTCAGTAAAAGCAATGCAAATAAATAATCAGAAAAATAAGAGAAATCGAACAACATCACAATCTCGTAGAGCAGTCAGAATAGATGAATCATACTAGTTCGTTATTGAAGTTTTTGGAACCATAATTGATAAACTGCAAAAGACCAACTTATCATCGTTTATCATTTATTGGAATCTTTGCATTGGTTTTAATCCACTAATAAAATTTTCTGTCTTTGCTCAAAAAAAAAGAGAAAAAGACAATATACCATATGGCATAAACCAAAAATTCCCTCCTTCAAATAATCCAAGGTACTCTTGAAAGAACAAACATGGAAATAAAGTAAAACACGCAAATTACCAAAAGAACATGGAAATAAAGTAAAACACACAAATTACCAAAGGAAAGCCTGAAAAAACCTTCCATGTCAAAAATGGAAAACAAAAGCACAACAAAACAAGTAAATTTTAGCAGTATGCACTAAAATAGCACAAGAAACATGGAAAATTTTAAATGGAAGGAAGAATTGAAATAATGAATTAGAAACACCAGAGAGGGAGAAAATATGGAGAACCTGAAAATCAAATAATCAAGCAGAGCATAGAAGAAACTAATAACTTTCAGAACAATTTGAACAAGACGGAACCATACCTGGACAATGCTGCTCGGACCTGACCCATCAATCTGCAAACTGGACTGCTCGGGTGAAACTCCTACTCTTCCTGCTTCTCTTCCCATGATTTGGTCACAATCACGATAAACTAACAGGGGACTATAAACAGAAGAACCACGAGGTATCAGGAAGGATGCCGTAGTTGAACTGAGAGAACATTGGCTCAGGAGATAGAACGGAGTTGCAGAGAAAGAGAATGAGATAGATAGAGAGAGAGAGAGGAATGGTCTATGCAAGTGGGATATGGAAGAAAATTTTGAATAAGGTAACCCTAGCAATGGAAGAGAGAGAAATGCCAGTTGAATGGTGCGAAGAGAGAGAGAGAGAGAGAGAGATCGACTGGTAAAACGCCGGGGCGCTTTCCCTCCATAGGCCCTTGAAGAGCCAAATAGAAACACGAAAAGAGCCCTAAGGATTAGTCAAAATTACTGGTGTAACCCGCGACTGCTTAAATTTTGAAAGCTCGAGCGTGGTTGTTGAAGAGCTCACGAAATTAGCTCGTGAGAATTTTTTTTTTTTTTTTTCCAAATAATGTATTCAAGATGGTCACAATTATGTACAACTATCCAATGTAAAATATCTTTTTTTTTTTTTTCTCCAAATAATGTATTCAAAGTGGTCACAATTATGTATAACTATTCAATGTAAAATCTCATAGCTTGGGTGTATCATAAAGTTTGTAAAAATTTCTTTTTAAGTTTGAATTTGGTCAATGGAATAAAGGCCGCTATCCAATTCCACATTCAATTGTCATGATTAATTGTGACCACTTTGTATTGATCTCATTGTATACTTTTCTTAATGGGAAACCATAGCTTCTATTTTTCAAAGAAGCTCACGTACATGTGTTCACAAAATTTGTATATTTTGTCTATGTTATTTGCATTATTCCAAAACTTGGATCGTTGGGGTGGATCGCTTGCCCCATAGATCCATGTTGAAGTGCTGGATCAGCAATTAGGATTAGTAATATAATGGGTATTTGGGGGGACCTATAAAACATTAGATAATGTTAGGAAAAATTAACTTAAAAAATAATAATAAAATATAAAAGGGGTTTTTAGTGGGGAGCCGAATTAGGACCTATACCATCTTAAAACCAATTCAGTTTTTTACCGATTCCCCATCTAGATCAAGAATTGCCGCATTTTAAAACATTGGGTTTTTGTGTTTTCTCTCTCAAACTCCTCCTTCTAATGGAGTCCTATCTCTCCAAGTGTGCACTTTCTCTTTCATGGGAAAACCTTTTTCTCTCTAACTCTTTTCCCAATTTGTGCTATGTCTCTCTAACTATCTTTAATCATGTCATTTCTCTCTCTAGTCGTACCATTTCTCTTTCTGTAAACCCGCTCTCACTATAAATTTTTCTCTAACTTTTTCTGACTGCTTTCTCAATTTATCTTTTTAATAGTCTTTTCTCTCTATAGATGTGTCATTCTCCCCCTTTTTAAATCCTCTTTCTCTTTTAATGTGAACCTTTCTTCTTTCCAACTGCATTATTCTTTAAATGTGTCATTTATCTCTCTAAATGTCGCCTTTCTACGACTAAGCGCTCTCTCTAATCGTGCCCTTTGTCCCTCCAACTTCTTTTACTTTTTAACCTCATCTTTTCTCTCCCTAAGTCATCTATATCCATATGTGTCACTTCCCCTTCCTCTGTCTTTGCAATCTCTCCCCTAGTACAGGCTACTCTATGTAAAACTTTGTAAAATCTTTTTGAAACTTGTTTTCTATGTGTAACAACTTTCAAATAAATCATTAAACAAGTATTTTAAAACATTCACATATTAAGAATTTCAACTTTTATGGAACCATAGCTTAAGCACATACCTCTTTTGTCTTAGTTATAGAAGTCTTAATAAGGTACAATAGCGCATGTTGTTCCTATATGATATAATTTTGATTAATGAGACTCGAAACGACATCAACACAAAGTTAAAACTTTCGAAGGATGCTCTGGAACTTAATACTTTTAAAATTAACATGACTAAGACAAAGTATATAAAATGCAGGATTAATAATAATGGGAGTAGATATCAAGAAGTAGTTAAGATTGACAATAAGAAAATATCAAAATGAGCGCAATTTCGACATCTTGGGTTGATAATCCAGTAAAATGGAGAGATTGGGGTATGTCACATATAAAATTAACGTTGGGAGGGTGAAGTTGAGACATGCAACCGAAATTTATGTGATCATCGCATACCAATGAAGCTGAATAACAAATTGTATAGAACAACTGTGAGACCAGCTTTGCTCAATGGGGCAGAATGCTAGGCAGTCAATAAACAATATATCCATAAAATTAGTGTAGCGAAGAAGAAGATGTTGAGACGGATGAGTGGCAAGACAAAATGGGACAGAAAATGAGTGCATTTGAAAAAAAAATAGGTGTGGCACCACTAGACGATAAGATAAGAGAGAGTAGACTTAGGTGGGTTAAGCATGTGTAATACAGACCAGTACAATACATGTTAGGAGGTGCGAGTTAGTTCAAGTGAAAGGCTAAAAAAAGGCAAGGGGTAGACCCAACATGACGTGGTTAGAACTAGTGAGAAAAGACATGGGGACTTACAACCTCAATAAGAGTATAGTCCTTAATAGAGTAGATGGCAGATTATGATTTCTATAGCCAACTCCAATTAGTTGGGAAAAGGCTTTGACGATAATGATGGAACCATAACTTCTAAGTTATAGGGAAATCAAGATTCCTATTACTAAACGTGCCTTTAATCTTGGTGGAACATTCTCGGGGTTGGGATTCGGCTTGGCATTCATATGATATTATAACTAGATGAGAAAGAACTATTTGCCATTATCGAAAAAATTGGAGTAAATATTGGGGTATCTAATAAGAAAAATAGTATGCAATGGGTCAAAACCTTTTTACAAATTTGTTAAGGAGGTCAAAAGATCCTATGTAATATTAAATTGATTATATTTCAATTTTTATTTCACTCAAGTACTTTCGTGAAAAATTAAAAAATATCCACGTTATCCTTGTTTGGGGTTGAGAATCTTGAATAACCAGTGCCTAATTGAAAAAAAGCTTTGATGATGATGATGATGACGGGACCATAACTTTTAAGTTATAGAGAATCTGAGATTGTTATTACTAAATGTGCCTTTAATCTTGGTGGATATATTATAAGCTAATGGGAAAGTATTATTTGCCATGACATTTGGTTGGAAAAAATGGTGTAGACTGAGGTAAATAATGAGAAAAATATTATGCGATGGGTCCAAACCCTTTACAAATTCATCAAAGAGATCAAAATATCTTGATTAATATTAAATTGATTAATTTTCAATTTTCATTCCACTCAGGTACTTTCGTGAAAAATATCTTAAAAAATATCCAAATTATCCTTCGTTGGCCTTTTTAGTAATTTGACGCAAGCAAAGGTACTCCAGCCATTTGGTTCGGGTTCTTGGGTGAGCCCAATAACTAAAATATTCCTATTGTTGTAAGGTAATTTGGGTTTTTTCTTTTTTTTTAAATGGTTTTTGAGGGGGTATTTGAATGAAGTGAAAATAAACAAAATGAAGTATTTGATGTTAATTGTAACCCCTTGATTATGACCCCTCAAATGCTATTCTTGCATATATAATGTATATTTTCAACTACAAAAGATAGATAGTAAGGACTGCCTACCATCATTAACTACAATGCATCTCTACCGTCCATCATTGGTGACTTAGTAGTGTATCATCTACCGTTCTATTTTGATAGCTTGGTTGAAATCCTAGGGAGTGTTGAATCTCTTATTTCAGTGAACATGAGATTCTGGAGCCTTGGAAATCTTTAAATTAGTTAATTTTAACAGTTCATTGAAGTTTTTATTAAAAATGATATTTGCTTAATGAAGGAGAATTTAAATTCATTGGTCCTCTACAATATGTCTAACAAATTGAATAGTTAAAATTGCATAAACAAAAAAAATATAATTGTTACAGTTTTGCATTATAATGTACTGATATTATTGTTTAATTTCTCATACCTATCCATAAGTGGATATTGAGACATGCTTAAGCAATTCCTTTTGTACCTCACTAAATGCTATATATAAATCAAATGTAAACATTAATAAAGATGAAAAGAAAAATTAATCACCAATCTTTCATAGGATAATTAAACTACGATTATAGTTATAAAATACAATGATACAAACAAGTAGTCTGCTTCTTATAATTGGGACTAAAAGTTTGTTTTGATTCACATTCTTCTTGAACAATTATGAAGATGTTCCTCTGATTTTTAATGAGAATGAAAACAACATAGGATGCCCCCTTGAAGATCAAGAGAATGGTAAGATGTTCCATCATTCTCATGTGCTCATTGGCATTTTTCTCATGATATATATAACAAGCCAATTTTTCCAATAGCCCTTGTGTATCCTGAATATTTAGTAGTACATAAGGAAAGTTTATTACCATTAGTAATAATGTTTTAAAAATCAAGTAATGGTAATATTAATGCAAATTAATATAAAAGAATAGTAGAAAAATAAAGTTATTGTTGGTATTTTTGCTATTAGATAAATACTAGCTGTTATTTCAAAATAATATCTATTCATGACCATAATTTTTTGAAAGTTTGTTGTTGTGAAGATATAGGCTATTGTCCTGCGTTGAGGAACGTAGCTTATATTGTGTTGGTGGAAACAAGGGGAGAGAAAGCTTGTGGGGAGCATGTGAAACTTGCGATGTGAACACACACCAGGGGGTTTGAGATGCAATTTATATTTCATGCTCTTATAGGTGCCTTTAAATAGTTCCCTTGTTGCGAATCATGCACGTTGACCGACGTGAGTATCGCAACTTAGTATGTCGTGTCTCACGTCACTTATGTTTCAAGTGACGAGAGACCAACATCAAGAATCGATAATTCTTGATGGGCTATGTAGTCACACGTTGGGTGACACATTTGTGCGACGACCGACACACATGTGATGTTTGGTGTGCCATGAATCATTTTGAACCACTGCAACTATTAATTAAATATTTTACAAAGCAGATAGAATTAACAAAAGTTTAATGACTATTAAAGAATCAAGAAACATAACGTCTTAATGCACTTGAAATGAACAGCTACAAGGCATCGAATGATCAGACATGAAAAGTCACATTATCTATTATCCAAACTATAGCATTGTACATACTATCTTTTATTTTCTAACTCATTTTTCCTCTTTAAAAGAAAGGCAACTCTGCTCCTGTGAAGTCATGTTGTTTCCTTCCTACACTAAACCGTCAAGATAAATGTTTGATCTTCTGTTTCAAGTTTTTAAACACAAATTTACTTAGGCAACCTTATGCACAATGATTGTCATCAGTCGCGACTAAATATCATCTCCAAGTAACACGTTGATGTGCCTAATCGCGTAAAGATTTATCTTCAATTTGTTTTTATATACCACTTACAAAGGGATTTACTTGTAGCCCCCACTTCACCATCCAATATTTCCAACCTTACATCATGACACACAATATCTTAGTAGAATCACCTATAAAATTAGAGCCCTTTATCCTATATCTTCATTCATTTCATTAGATCTTACATCATGACACAATATCTCATTAGAATCACCTATATAATTAGAGCCCTTTATCCTATATCTTCATTCATTTCATTAGATCGCCTTATACATTAGTTAAAATGGCACACACCAAATTTTTTGATGAAAAGTAGTATGCAATAAAAAACAAAGTATAAGACAACTAGACAATTATAAGACATATATATACCAAATACACCACTTTAACCAAGGGCATAATCTATTAACTCCCTAATCTATTAAAAAAACGGGTAGGGGCCTGTCTTCCACACTGAACTACCCAAAAAATAATAATAAATATTTATATAATATATTAACTCCCTAATCTATTAAAAAAAGGGGCAAGGTCTGTCTTTCCCACTGAATTACCCAAAAAAAACGTAAAAAAAAGAAAGAAGAAGCCATTCACATAATCATGCCACATCTGGGTTACAATGTACTCTCCCAATTATACACTATTGTTAACCTAATTTAAGAACCCACAATATCAATATTATCATCTTTACTTATTTAATTCCATGTAAAGTCCAAACATCGATTTTTTTTCCTTGATTTAAGAGTGCTGCTTTGATCACCATTATAAAGTCATGCCAGATAATTGTGGTAGCACATTAATAAAATATAAAAAAAATAATTCGAATGATAAAAATTACGTAAAATACTTTTATAAAGTTTCAGGGGTAAGTTCATCATTTTATTTTATGACTATTATTTTTTTAATATTTTATTTTGATGCGACTTGGTCATACATATACACTCGTCACAAATTTTAGATAAATCCGAATAGTACAAAATTATAAAAATTAAAATACTATAAAAAACTGTGACCGTATGATGAACTTTGGATGGTGATGATGTATAGGTGAAGTACTGTAGAACTTCACCTATAGGCGTTTTGTAGATGCTTCTATAAATTATTATTTTGTGATGTGATGGTGGGTGGTGATGTGATGCAGTGACGGTAGCCATAGTGAAAATGTTAGTGGGGAGAGAGCCAAACTATTTCTTTTTTGCAAAATATGTTTTTTGAAATGAAATTTTTTGCAAAACAAATTGTACTTTTGCAAAAATTCAATTTGGAAGCCCAATTGTAATTAAGAATTAATTCACATATGCAGATCAAACTATATTTTTTGGGAAAATTTTGTATGGGCTCCTAATTCATATTTCACGGTAGACCCTCCTATTTTCTTTCAAGCGGTATAAAAAAACCCTTAAGCATTTCACCATACCCCCTCATCTTTTTTCTCCCACGTTTATTCACTTTTGGCCATAAAAACTAACCCCAACAAATTGTTTTATTTCATCTCAATTCAAATTTTTTTTAAAAAAGTACAAAATAGGATTAAAAAAGTTTTTGGATTGAGATAGAATAAAACAATTTGTTGGAGGTAGTTTTTCTGACTAAAAGTGAATAAACATGGGAGAAAGAGATGAGGGGTACCGTAAAATACTTGAGGGTTTTTTTTATGCCGCTTGAAAGAAAAATAGAATGAGGGTCTAACGTGAAATAAGATGGGGAATTAAAGGTCTATACGATATTTTCCTTCTTTTCTTTTTTTGTCAAATTGCTGGCGAAAAATTTTTAAATAGGCTGAAATTACAATTTGGCTAGAAAATAAAATGGTGTTCAAGTCTTTAGAATTGGAAGTGTATTTTTTACATTATAAAGTACGTTTAATCATATTTCACAATGATGAATACCAACGGTTAAATAATTAATAGCGAGTTCATAAAAGGGAAAAGAAGTCCTCTCTCCCTTCTTCTAAAATTGTAAAATTATCTCTTTTTATAAAACACCTTATGGGCCTGTACAAAGATTAATGTCTAATTATTTCAAACTCTCTCATATAGAGTCAAATAAAAATGTCTCTATTGTTTAACACTCGAACCAAATTTCCTTCCGATATTCAGTGCATCATTCATCTCATTATAGAAACATGTATTATAAAACTTAGATCCGTAGATTGGATCATTCACCGACTAATTCAAATCGTTGGATATGTTGATGATATGGATTAATTTGCATCGGTCTAAATTGGTGATCCATAAACTATTAAGAAATAAAATAAAAATCAGAGGGTATGTTAAGGTGTTTTATAACTGTATTCAATAAATTTAGGCCTTAGCTTTGCGTATGAAACATTTCACAAGTGATGTCACGTTGTGAATGATGTCAGATCCCTCCTAATGACAAAAAATATCCTTATTAAAAAAATGTTATATTATCAAATAAGAGTATATAAGTATAAAAAATTTGTTGAGTATAATTATAAAATGTACTATAATGTGAGCAACCTAACATAACCCAAAATTAAAATAGACGTTTGTATGTTGGAGTTTATTAGATATCTAAAAAAATATTAAATAAGCATAAAAAAAGAAAAAAATTATGTAAAGAGGGATTTTAGAGGGAAATCAGGCTCAAGATTCATATTAGGAAAATTGTTTCATGTGGGTTGGACCTTATTTTTATAATACGCGGTCCAGAGGTATAAAGCATCCATCTTATAGATGGATGCACATAGGTGGTCCATCTAAAAACAATTGTAACTAGTAGTCTAAATGTCTTTTTAATATAAATATTATTTTTTCATATTCATCATTTCCATTTTAAAGATTATGCATTCTCTAAAAATTAGAATCAAATTACATTTTAAAATGTATTTATTGCCAAGCCCGTATTGCTACAACAAACCATATCTGAACCAGTTTGGTTCTGAACGATTCCCATCCAGATCGAAAATCCAGATTGAAAATCGCGGGGTTTCAGATGGAAATCGTCTTCCAGAATTAGTAGTCATAGTTCCATACTCCCTCCCATGGCCTGGCTAACTGGCGAGAGCTCCTCAATGGCCAACGCTCGCTCTCTAAATCATCTGATTTATTTATATCGCAAAGCCAAAGGCACAAGTTCTCGTCCCTTAACACACTTCACCCTTCATTATTTTCTCTCTCTTACTTGATCCCGCTCGCTCACTTACTTCTACTGGTTTTTGCAGTCCTTCCCTTCAAACATCAATGCCCTGCCCCCTTCTCTACTGAAACAGGAGAGAAACCCGTTTTAGTGAGCTTTTCTTCTCAACCCCATCTTTTAATATGATTTCTTCTTCTCATTCTCTCTCTCTCTCTCTC